TATTACGTTATTCCACATTGAATTCCACACTGATTCTTTTTCCTTCTATTTTTCTTTTTCTTTTATTTTTTCCACTACCCCGCACCCCGCCCCTTTATAAAAGAACCAATACAATTTCTACAGATATTAAACTGGCATTGCTATAGAAAAGCTGAAATAGTATTTTATCCATTTCCGTTTTGCGCCGCGCTTGCATTATATACACTTTCCCCACCATCCCCTATCCCCACCCCCGCTGGTTTAGTCTGTGCCAGCAGCCAGGCCCGTGCGAGTTCGTGTTTGTTTGAAAAATACCACCGGTGTACTTCAATATTTTTAACCGAAATTGAAATGACGATGAACGCGGTATTTTTATAAAGTTCCTTTGCTCGAAAAAGCCCCATTGGTGACGTACGGGGAGGCGGCAGGCAGATGGGATGGAAGAGGGGAAGGATAGGACAGAGAGAGGCTTGGGAGGGACTGCGAAGGGGAAGTAGTATGGAGGGGTAGTCAGGAAATATTTCCTTTTTCCCCTGTCGATTCCTATAATATAGAGAAGTGTATTGCGATAAGGGTTATATCAAAAGGACGTATTAAAAGATAGTTTTGAAAACGTAACTGAATCACGTTTATGTTCTCTATTCTTGTTTTTTTTTTGTTTTTCTATTATTAATCGAGTCACCATAATAAGCATATATAAGCATGAAATATGTACGTACGTAGATATGTCGTATTACAGCTGAAAATAATTTTGACGTTGGCACAGATATGACATAGCAAACATACGAGGAAGGTTGAAATTCAAAGTATTTACAATGATAACAGATATGCATATGTATATGTTATATGTGTATGTATATAAATATCAAATCAGAGGAGCATTGATAGACATATTTGGTTCGACCTATTTGTACTCGAGTGATATTACGATTTTTCTGAATGTTAGAGTTTCATTTGGGGATGGGGGAAAAGGGAAGAAAAAAGAAAAAAGGGAAAAAGAAAATTACGACGTTCGTTACATTTCGCAGAGTTAACAATTGAAATCCGTCTATTCTCTTGAATCGGGGCTTGAAAAGTGTATAAAACGTTAATCGAAAAGTGTCCCGTGTTTGTCTTAACAATGAGAGCGCGAACGAGGTGCGTTTGAAGTTTCGAAATGATTTCTCGCAAGGAACGATCTATATATGTATGTACGTAAGAAAAACGAAGAAGTAAGAATATGAAAAATAGTACCTCTCTTCCGCAGAATATCGCGACTAGAACGGACTCGGTGAAGACGTAGAGAGAAAAAAGGGGGGTAGGGAAAGGGTGGTTGGGAGGACAGAGCGGGGCTCTCCTCCCCGGTCTCATTTTAAAGTTTCAAAGGAAAAAAGCTAGAAATACTTTAACTGGAAATGAAATTTCGAAAGGGTAGAAGGAGGTAGAAACGGAGAGATTCCACCTCCTCCTCCTCCTCCTCCTCCTCCTCTTCTTCCCTCCCACCCAGCCTTTTCCCTCACTTGAAAAATGTGTAATACGAGCTTATACTCAGACTTCCCCCTCTCTTAACTTCAGTCCCTGGAATCTCGCGACCCTCCTCCTCCTCCTCCTCCTTTTCATCCTTCTCTTTCTCTCTCTTTCTCTCTTTATCTCCCTCACCCTCGCTCTTACCCTCACCATCACCCATATACCCACCCCCGAACCTCATACCTCTTCAATGTACATTCGAGTTCCGCTGCTCGGATGGCTGAGCAGACATATTGAAAGCGCACGTAGACAATGGTAGGAAGCTTTTGTGTTTCTTGCTGTGCATGCCCTTACGAATATTAAACGACTTCCGTCAACCTGCCGGAAGCATTTTGGGATTTTTCAAATCGAGGTCGCGCGTGATTCGCAACGATGAGATGACTGCTCCTCTCTCCTTTGAGGGATGGGACATAGATTATATCAAAATATCTATTAACATCGTAAACTTGTATTCTTCTCTAAGGTAACTAATTGGTCGATAAAATAATTTAGAGTAAAAAAAGAAAAAGAAAATAAACGAGATTGTTACAAGATATCGTTATTATTTATTACCGTACCTGTTCTATTATCAATACTTTCACTGTAAATGAAATATTTTCATCCTTCGTGGTTATAAATATGTACAAGGCTGTAAAAGTGTATGTGTAAGGGAGATCTGTAAAACGTGTGTTTCATCTCGAAAAGTTTGTGAAATCATGCAAAGGGCAATAATAAAAATTTAGCGAATATCCGTATATCTTCTTGCGTCCATTTACGTAGCGGATTGTTTATTTTTAATTCCCCAATAATCTCATCATTTCTTGATTGACATTCCAATGTTTCACAAAATTTCTTTCCCTCCGTTCCGACTAATAAGATTTCTAATTGCGGTTTTACCGACCTTAATTTCTTTATATCATCGGAAACATCGCTTTCTAACATGTAGATATTTAGATTATATCTGAAAACCATAAATCTCAGTGTTTCTGTTAAATATTAAAAGATTGAAAAAGAAACAAAGAAATAAATTAGATTGTACCTTTTTACAATATCTTTGATTAATCGTTTGTCATTTCTAAAAAATGGAGACAATTTTAAACAAATAATTTGTAGTTTTTCATTTACACCTAATATTGTGTTAGCCAAGTAAGCAAAATGTATAAGTATCTGCGACTCTACACTACCATCAAAATAAATTATTATTTTCTCAGATTGATGATGATAAATTTTCCTAAAATAATCAAATGATATAATATTGAATAGAAAATTATTATAATCGTATTTTAAATATTAATATAAGGATGTTTTACATTAATGTTTCCAAAGTTTCTTCGTATATAAACGATTGTTGACATTTATTAAGAAAGTTGTTATATTTTGTAAGGCTATTAATATGTGGATCATTATTATTTGTCACCAAGATATCTGGTCCTATAAGATCGCAAAGTTGTTGTTTTGCTTTTTTCGTTTCTTCGATGTTGTCACTTTCTATGGTAATGAATGCTTTGTAGTAGCTGGGAATAATTTATAATCAAAAAATTTACTTAATAAAAAAAAATTAAATTAGTGAAATTTTTTTTCTTTTTTTTTACCTATTATTGCTTACAGGATAGGAACCAAATGAAACATTTGGAAATTTGTTTGAAAGAATTGTTAAGGTATTTGCAAATAATTCTTCTTTCGCATTTAAATATATCTCATCCTTTGCAAAATACTTATTTGTTAAAAACAATTGCTGAAGAAATGCATTATGTCAATTTTTAATAAATGTTAATTAAAATATTTAAAAAGAGTTTTTATAAACATTACCTTGCATAAAATTCCAAAAGATTTTTCAAAGAATAGTGGTGATCCAGGAAATATATATACGTTCTTTAATGTTACACATGGATACCTTAGACTGTCTCCTTTCCCAAATATTAAAGAAGCTTTTGTTGGTATCTAAGAAATAATATCATGTATAAGAAAAGTTTCTAATCTAAAATTAATAATAATAGATAAAAATTTGTATAAATATAAGTAGTATAATGAATATACATACGTAAGCCATTTTATAATTAGGTGATGTTGGATTTTTTACACCAAATTTATCTTTTATAATCTCTACAAGTTTTGAATGATAATGCAACGAATCATCAAAAGCTTTCGCAAGACCTAAAAAATCTCCCAACTTTTTATTCATTAATTCTAATATTTATTATCTGTTACTTAAAAATATACTTTCTTCTCTCTTTATCATTTACCTTCATATGTAACATCATCGTGAGTTGGTCCTATACCACCTGACGTAATAACATGAGTATATTTTTTAGAGAACCTCTTTATTTCTTGCTTTATTTCTTCTACATCATCGCTTATAACTGATATCTTTAAAAATATATAAAAATTTCATATTAAATATTAAATACTAAAAAAAAATGGATTATATAATTACTTGAAGTTTATTTTATTAGTAAGAAAATCAAAGGATATACTAACTTTTTGTACCTTAACACCACATTTATATAATAAATCGCAAGCATAATAAGAATTTGTATCCTTCACGCGTGCCTTGAGTATTTCATTTCCAATGACTAAAAATAATAAATACTGAATGTTATTGTCTTAAAAAAATAAAATGAATTTTAATAAAACTCACTAATAAGACCAGCTGAAGGATGTTCAATGTTATCGTGCATCCAACATTGCAGTAAGTTTTGATAGGATTTAATAGAATTCCGAAGAGTATATTGACGTATATGAAACATTATACACTTCAAATTATTTTTTTCTATAGAAATGATCGCTGTACATTTATATACATATAAAATCTCATTTATATTCTAACAGAGGAAATGATTTGATAGATTGCATAACCTATACGAGGTAACATATTAAATAGTGCATAATATATTTTTTTTTCTTGTTTTTTAATGGTCTTCTAGTTAATTAGACTGATTTATATAAAGAATAAATCGCGAGAAACTTAAAAATAAATAAAAGTATTTCATCGAAGTATATTCCTCTGCGCAGATTACTGAATAATTTTGTCTATACTTATTTCGATAATCGAAAGCATTGATTTCGATAATCAATCTCGATTGTAATAGATTCAACCAAAGATACAACACGAGTGACTGTAATACGGTGAAATATAGTAGACATTTTATATTATACGAAATTACTTTAAAATTGGCAACGATAATGGCTAGTACGGTATTAAAAAATGCAGGTATTCATTCTCCGAAACAATTATACAAGTTTTTATTACGGGAATGTAATAAACTTCCAAAAGGTGCAAACGAATTTTATAAACATTCTATCAAACAAGTAAGTTCGTGTATGTAACAATAAAGTCCTAAACGCATTTAAAAAAAAGTTAATAATAATGCCGAAATAGTTTGTCACGTGTTGGTAGCAACATAACCTTACATATTTTACATATAATTTTACCAGCTTGATTAGTGCGTTATTCACTGGCAAAATATATTTCATATTAATTCTTGATAATATTCTTCGAATTTACATTATTCTGTAGAGTTTTAAACAACACACCGTTGAGCCCGATCCAGAACGTGTTAAAATGATTATGGAAAAAGCATTCTCTGATGCTAAATGGATTTTACAAAAGGTATTTTTAATGCATAAATCTTAATATAAATAAGCATATATATATATATATATATATATATATATATATATATATATATATATATATTTATATAACTTACTATATTATTCTTTTTTTATTTTCCTTTTAATATCCACAGTACAATAAGGAAATAGGAAAGTAAAGTGCATATAAAAAAATAAAATACTTTTCAAAATGAATTTTGAATCGATAGTATCTGAAGATAGTGGCAGAGATGTTTCACATTATTGGAAGGCCGTAGATATCCTATTAAATAATCCACATACTATTAATCGTAGAATTTTAGCATGCCAAAGAATGCTTGTAGCACAATTGAAATGTAATCAGAACGTATATTACTATATCAAAGAAATACAATCTTTGTCAATAGGGAATGATGTCTCTAAAGATATTAATATTTTAATAGAGATATTAAAAATAAATGAATATTGTAATATAATTGATTCCATAAATCTTGAAAATTGCAATGAAAATATATTTTTATATGTAAATGAGTTATTGCCTCGTAATTCTCAATTATTTGGTTCAACGTTAGAATTTACATTTATTAATAGAAAAGAAAATTATATTTTGTGCCTTCAAAAAAATAGTTCTAAAGATTTAAACGTTTTAAATTTTAAAGATAAACTTTCATTAGGTACACATATAATTTACAAAATACTTTATGAAAAAGAAGGAATCATTTCTATGTGTATAGAGAAAATAGATGATGTAAATTCTGATAAAAGTATTGTTTGGCTCAAAGAAAAATTATTCCCCCGTTTTATAACATGGATAAAAAATGAACAAGTTAAGAATAGTTTTATTATCAATTCTTTATCTCTTGTGTCACCTGAAAAATATGCAAAATTATATAATGAACTTAAAATAAAATATGGTGATGCTATGGTCAAAACGTGGCCTGAAAATACTGATCCATCAAAATTTGTTTATGAAGATATTTCTATTGCAACTTATCTAATTTTATTATGGGAAAATGAAAGAAATGAAAGTGGCACAAAAAAATTACAATCATTTTTGGATCTCGGTTGCGGAAATGGTCTACTTGTGCATATTTTATCAAGCGAGGGATATTCAGGATTAGGAATTGATTTGCGAAAAAGAAAAATCTGGGATCATTTCCCAAAAAATACTCGTTTGGAAGTATGTATATAATCCTTAATTATTATTTATTATTTATTAAGTGGATTATTACCTGCTTAATATATAATTTTACTAATATTTATAGGTTCAAACTATTGTTCCATCAGCTTCCTCATTATTTCCTGAAATAGATTGGCTTATTGGAAATCATTCTGATGAACTTACACCATGGATTCCAGTTATTGCTGCACGTAGTTCATATAATTGTCGTTTTTTTTTATTACCATGTTGTGCTTATGAATTTAATGGTAAAAAATATCAAAGGCAAAGTGCATCTAAAAGCCAATATTCAGAGTATATTTCATATATTAAAAATATATCTGAGATATGTGGTTTTGATACCCAAATCGATAAATTAAGAATACCATCAACAAAAAGGATTTGTTTAATTGGTTGGAAGAGAAATTATTCAAAAGAAGATACTCATTTACAGGATAAACGTATACAGAAATTAATAAATATAAAATCATCATCATCAGAGGGTTTAATTAAAGAAGATAATAATGAACACTTATCTAATTCATGGTCTGATAATTTTAAACCAAGAAATCCTATAGAACAAGTACGAAATTGCACTCAATTAAATAAAACTTTAATATTTGATATCATTAAAATAGTTTCATCGCAATTATTGTGTACATATCGCCCAATAAATCTGCAAGAAAAATCTAATAAAATTTGGAATGCAGGTGGTGAAATTGATTTAAAAGATATTGTAAAATTAATACCCTCGGAAATGTTGAAACAATTAAGAAATGAATGTGGAGGTATTCAAACATTACTAAAAAATAATGGTCACATATTTTCTGTAATTCAAGGAAGAGTACAGTTTAGAATACCTGGAATTACACCTATTAATATTAAAAAAAAACGAAAAACTAGTACTACACATCCAGTAAAAGTAAAACCTTGTTGGTTTCATGAAAATCATCCTGATGGTTGTCCAAACATTGCAATTAAATGCAATTTTAAACATTAATTTTATTTATTTTTTAATCATTTATGCCTCAAAAATTTTCACACAAATGCTAAGTTTAATTCTATAATGACATATTTTATTACAAACAGTAGTAACTTATGTACAAGTCATATTTTTACGTATCAAATAAAGATAATATAACTTATCAAAGAAAGTTTTTTGCTTCTTAGTAATACCAAATAGGTTTAGAGTTAGAACACTTAAAATAATAACTGACTCTCAATAATATAAAGGATTCTAATAAACCACAGAATATAACTTTACTATTTTAGTGTTATCAATGTACATAATATATACATCACAGAGTTTCAAAAAATTTCTCAATGCAAAGACACAGAGAGATCAGTCTGATATATTTTTTTTCCTTTTTTTCTCTTTTTTTTTATTTTTTTTCTTTTTTTCTTTCTTTCTTTTTTTTCTTTTTTTTTCTTTTTTTCTTTTTTTTTTTTTTTTAATCTTTCATGATTAAAGCAGTGAAAAGTAATATATCTGATTTCTTAGACAGTATTCAGAATTTTAAGCGTATTTAGCATTTTTAAAATATTATTCTATTTTAAAAGTTATTTTACAAACTGGACAAAGGCAATATCATCTAAACTTAGAATCTTTGTTTCACCTATATTATTTTGTATTAGTTTAGCACTTAAAACTTGTTGACTTGTTTTCAACTTTTTAGCACTGATAAGATCCAATCGATGAACACGTCTTAAATGTGTTCGTAAATTTCCTCTTTGTGAAAAAGTAAATTCGCAGCATGGGCAAGCATGTGGTCGATCACCTGTATGATGTTTTTGATGCATTTGTAATGTTGCCTTTTGAGCAAATGATTTTGTACATAATTCGCACTTAAATGGACGTTCACCTGTGTGAATTCGTTTGTGTCTCTCTACTTGATATGGCTTCATAAATGTTTTTCCACAAATATCACATGCTCTCTGTTTTGATGAATTGCTCTTATTTGTTTGCTTCTTTATTGTTTCTTGTGTTTTATTTGTTGTAGCATTTGTATATTCTAACTGTGTTATACTCATATCATTATTTGAATCTGTTGAAACATGAGTAGTTGGAAGGGCTCCTCTTGTTGATGTTTCATTTGTAATAACAACGTGTTTAGTACCTGTGTCAATATAAGATTCCTGTATAGGTGCAGTATTAACAAATTCTGGTAATTTAGTCTCATTCTGAATAATATTTGCATCAGAAATAGGTACTAGTGGTGGTGGTGCTGCCGTAGCTGTTGTTGGTGATGGTGAAGTATCATCCGTTTGAATGGTAACAAATCCATTTGCTAATAAGAAATGCAAATTTGCTACTAATTGATTATTCTCATTTAATGACACAATTGAATTATTATTCAATATCATTGCATCGTTATTCAAATTAATCTGATTGACTAAGTTATTAGTTTCAATGCTAATTGTGTCAAGGTTTGAGTAATCAACATTTGATGATGTAGATACATCATTATCAGTTGTTACTAAATGGACTACACCTTCAATCGACTTTTCTAAATCAAGGGTTGCCTCAGTTACAGCTGAAACTTTCATGTGCTTTTGTTTTCGTTTAGTAGTACCTTTGTGCTGTCTCACATGTTTCAATAAATGTACTTTCCTGTGACCAGAAGTTCGAAATCTTAAATCACAAATCGAACATCTAAATGGTTTAGAACCTAAACAGAAATTATTAGAAAAAAATTATCTCAGACATTTGTAAATACCATCATGTTAATAAAGATGTATATATATATATATATATATATATATATATATATATATATACATACAACTAATTAACTATATATACATACCAGTATGTAATCGCATATGAACCTTTAAACTACCCTTTGTAGCAAATAGACTATTGCAAACATGACAACAAAACGTCTTCTTGCCGCTATGAACTTTCATATGAGAATCCAATGTACATTTCACTGCAAAGCTTTTACTGCAATGATCGCACTTGTACGGTCGTTCGCCAGTATGCGTCCGAATATGTCTTATAAGATCGCTTGGTTTGCGAAATGTTTTCGGACAGTATTTACATTTATTGATATACTGTTTTGTTTCTTTTTTTTCTGCACTACCCTAGATCATAAGTTCATTGAGCTATTTAATTTAGTTTCGATTTATACATGTAATATATTTCATTTTTACTTACATCTATTTGATCCATGATCTTTTTTTCTGCTACTGTATCTAAAAGAACTTTTTCTGACACTGACGAATCATTACCCATTTTATCATTTAAAGAAATCTTGTCATCTAATTTGACAGATTTATTTGATAGAGTTTTACTATCAAAAGAAATTTTATTATTTGAAGTAGAATCAATAGACATAGTTTTATTAATAGAAATATTTTCTTTCTGCAACTTATCTGATTCTAACGAGCTTGCATTAAGGCTATTATCATGTATTTTGTTATGAGATTTCAATTGGGCTTTGCTAATAAAAACTTGTTGACAGATTGTACACTTCCATTGTCTATATTATTAAAAAAAAAAAAGTCGATAAATTTTAATAGAATACGATTCATTATATATTCTTTAATAATGACAATGTGGAACAGATACTTACTCTTTACTTTTATGTAATTTTAAATGTCTACTAAGTCCACCACTAGTACAGAACTTAAGAGAACATTCTGTACATTGGAAGCCCTTTATTCCGCGGTGAGTTTGCAAATGTTCCTAATGATACAAATTATATATATGTTATTACTTATGACAAAAACTCTTATTAATTAATTATAATTAATATAATATTTTATATTTCTTACCTTTAATTCTTCTGTAGTAAAGCCTTGTTCACTGCATATATGACACTGAAGTAAAGAATCACATTGACTGCTACATCCATTAATATCTGTATAAATGATGTTTGACGGGGAATGTAACTTTGAATGAGCATTTAATTGTAGTGTATCTTGAAAATTTTCGTTGTTTAAATCACATCTAAACAAAAATAATTATAATCATATATTTATAATAAAAAAATATATATATATAATTATTGTACAAGTAATATTAAATAATGCGATTTACTTTAAATGTAAAGTATTATTTCCATGTTCGTGACATACGATGTTTTCTTGATGTTTTTTATTACTATCATTTATCATTTGTATTTCTGTACTATTTGTTAAATTCATGATTTCGATATCTGTTGTATCTGTTGTATCTGCTTTAGCTATAACTTTTGGATACCTTGGACAAGACTGTGGCAGTTTTACAGCAGTTTCAGATCCAGTTTGTTTGGGTCCTAATATCATTAATTGTTTTGGTGTTTTAATATGATTGTCATTTGTATTATTTTCAATAGTGATAGTATTTATTTCTTGTCTCTCTTGTATAGATCTAGTTAAAATATTTGCCATATTTTCAGAATTTTCTGTATTGAGTCCAATGTCTATTTCAGTATCAGGTTGTAATGTAATCTGACTAATATCAAATGAGTCAAATTGTGATGTGAACATTGTATTTGCGGATGACTCTAAATTTTTATTATTATCATAAATAATATTTAATACAGGTTGTTCCCTTTGTTCAAGAGTATTTGTGTTTGTATCATCTATAGGTCTTGGGAGATTATTTCCCAAACCAAGATTCATTCCAATATTAAACAATTGTTGATTGAAAGTTTCTTCTATCTCACGTATACTTTCAGGCGTAAGTGATTGATCCCCTGTATAATTAGGAATTGTAATAGTGGCTGTTTCGTCGGTATTTAAAGTTTGTGATGTTGGTAAATTATTTGTTTCTATTGTAGGTAAATTTGTAGATAAATTTGAATTAATAACCGGTTGTGTTCTGTCTGTTGTTAAAAATGTTTTTTCTTTTTCCGTTATATTTTGAAATTGATCAGAAAAAGCTAATGCAAAATCGGGTGCCATTTGCGGTTGGAATGATACTTCCATTTCCTCTGACAGTGCTATATTCTCTGGTAAAATAGTTCCCTTATCCTTATTTAATGTCTTTGGTACATCCTTAATTTGTTGTTGTTTTTTCTGTTGTTCTAATTGTCTTTGTGCAAGTTCATGTTTATGTATCTTCATATGTTTTCTACAATTAACAGAAGTTTTGAATGTTTTATGACAATAAGGACACATGAATGGTCTTTTGTTACTATGAGTAACCAAATGTCTCTTCATACTGCTTTGTGTAGAAAACTTAGTGTTACATACAGTACAACTGTATGGTCTTGCATCATCGTGTGTATGCAAATGTGACTTGAGAACGCTATTAGACGTAAATCTTCTATCGCACTTAGGACATTTAAAAGGACGTTCTCCAGTATGCCGACGATGGTGTTGCTTTAAATGACTAATTTTCCTAAATGCTGCATGACATATCCAACATTTGTGTGGTCTTGCAACATCTGCACTGTCATAAACATGTTTTTGTTTTGATTGTACATGCGCCACGCTGATCTTATTACCCGCATCGCTAATAACTAATGGTTCCTGTAAAATGATTTGTGGAACTAAACTTTCTGCTTCTGGCGAGATATTTGATTTTCCTTTTGAATGACTTTTCATGTGACTTTTTAAAACAGCGCTAGAACTAAATGATTTATCACATACAGTGCATTTGTGCGGTTTTGTATGTAATCTGTAACATGTAAAATATTCTTTATTTAATAATTATTTGTATTAATAATTTTATACATATTAATTATACAAAAAAATCGATATACGAATTACCTCGTATGAGTGGTAAGACTACTATGACACGCGAACGTTTTATCGCACGAACCACAGGCATACTTCTTTGTACCAGTGTGAGTACGTTCGTGTGCAATCATCGTTGATTTTAATGCAAACGAGCGAAAGCAATAAGAACACTAAAATATATAATAAATATAGAAATATCAATGATATCATGATTTTTATATGGCGTGTGAAAAACTTACCTTAAATGGTTTTTCTTGAGTATGTACTCTTAAATGACGTATTAAATCCGATGGTTTTTTAAATTCTTTGTGACAGAAAGAACATGCATACCATCGTATATTTCCTATACATCGCTGCTTTATTGTTAAATATTTTCTAAATATAAAACAATAATCATATATATTAGAGATACTATTTATATATGCAAGTAATATACTATATATATATATATATATATATATATATATAGAAGTAATAAAAATACATTATAAAAAATTATACCTCATTGTGCCGTCAGGGGCTCTATCCAACAACGTAACATATGTTGTTTTTGCTTCTACTTTTTTCGAGTCCATTGTTTCTAGAATGAATAATGAAAAAAAAAAATATATATATATACAAAAAAAAAGGAAAAATCAAAATATATTACTAACATATGCACACATTGACAAGATTATACATTATATACCATTAGAAAGATTTTTCTCTTTACTAGGCAATCCACTATTATTTAATGCTTCCTGTAAAATATCATTTCTATTTTCAGTCGTAGTTTCAGATTGAGTAGAATTTGCTACATTAGCAATTCCAGATTCCAAGGATGCTAGCTGTGATATGACACTATCAACTGTAGCTCGCATATCAGCCTCTGTAGAACTTTCGCATTTTGATGTTGTTTCCTAAAGAAAAAACGAACATTTTCCTTTCGTCTCACGTAATATATATATATATATATATATATATATATATATATATATATATATATATATATATATAGTACTTTAATTTATTATAATTTTTTATTTACTTCTGGCAAATTCGAATGCATTCTTTTCATATGACCATTAAGACTGCCAAGCTTTTTAAAAATACAAGGACAATAACTACATCCATAAATGGATTCTCCTTCTGGAGCACTGTGTACCCTTAAAATGTGGGCATTTAGATTTCCTGAAAATATTTATAAAAAATAGATACATATAGTAACATACATATATATATATATATGAGCTGATAATCGTGAAAGTGGTCTGTCATATAAATATTTTTCCTTTCGTAAAAAATATTTGAATTTGAATTATTTATAAATTATTTGTTTCCTATGATAAACTAAAAAATAATAAATATATTTATTCTTGCAAAAAAAATACTTTTTTACATAATTTTAAAATGTTAAAAATAGTGTGTTAAAAGATATGTCTTTTAATATCTCCAATTACAGACCACATTTATAATCACCAGCTCATGTATATATATATATTATATTTATTACCTTTCTGACTGAATCTAGCATTGCAAAGAGTACAAATATGAGGTCTGATACCATCATGTTGCCACATATGAATTTGTAAAGAACCTTTCTGAGTAAATGCGCGATTACATACGGTACACTGTAAATATAATAAAAAATTGTTAATATATTTACATCGTTCGGTTTGAAGAGGAAAAAAAATAAAGAAAAGAAAAATTCTCTCTAGACACGGAAAAAAATACGCTTACTTTAAAAGGCTTCTCTCCTGTATGAACTCTAATATGACGCATTAGCTGACTAGGTTTTTGAAACGACTTCAAACATATTGTACACTTATACATAATCTTATGTTTCGTTCCTTTTTTCGTCTGCTTGACTATCTTCGTCTGTAGCTGTACATAAAAAGCATTAAAAAAAAAAAAAAAAAAAAAAAAAAAAAAAAAAAAAAAAAAAAAAATGGGAGAAAAAGAAAAAAATATGGTAGACATTTCCCATACTTTATAATTACATTTTGTCATTTGTTTGAAAATAAATCATTGTTTTATTCAACTCACCTTATAATGTTCACGAATATGAAGTCTATATAAAGCAGGCTGAACAAATTGTTTATTGCAAAGCTTACACTTTCGCACTTCCTCCGTTAATGATTTTTCACCATGTAACTTCAAGTGTGCGTCCAATTGGGCCTAAAAGAAAAAAGATAAAAAATAATAAAAAAAAAAAAAAAAAAAAAATAAATAAATAAATAAATAAATAAATAAATAAATAATAAAGACGAAAAATAGAAATAATAGAAATAATAGAAAAAAGATCTTGTTATTAACATTTTGACGAAGGATTATATACATCATATATAATTCGCTAAATAATTAAAACGTTCTCTTGTAATGATAAATATAATGTAGGAAGATCCGATATCCTGTACCTTATAATACTGCGCACCGATTCCAAGAGCGAGATGAAAGACACGAGAGCAGATCAGTAGAAGAGCAAAATTGATGCAGTCCACGGCGAACGACATTATGAAGAAGATATACTTCTCCAAGATAAAACATATATAATATATAAAAGACGAGAGTATGATTTATGAAAAGACGATTTTCGTTTATAGATGCACGACGATTATAAAAACGAAGAATAAATTCGAAGAACACGAGTATCACTTACGGCAGTAATATGCATAGATATGTGTGTGTGTATATATATATGTAGCATATATTTAAGTAGATCACTATGAACACAATTGTAACAAAATCTGTAACTATTATTTATTGCATTCTCATTCAATGTTTATTTTTTTCAACTTTGTCTCTTTTTCTTATCTTGTTTATCAGAAAAAGAAAAAAAAAAGAAAATTTTTTTTATTTTTAACAAAAAAAAAAAAGAAAGAAAAATAAGGAAACAAATAATAATGAACACTGTAAAACACAAAACTTATATACGAAATACAAGAAAGTCTTCTTCAGAGATCATCGGATCTCAATGATAGGAGTGGCTGTCCCGTATAAAAAACCCGATGAACATCAGAGTTACCGCCCCCGCTTTAACTTCAACGCGTACTGTTCGACGATTCAAGTCCTCGACGAAGAAAATCTTTCTTTCTACTCCTTTTAATTTTTATACAGTGTTCGCTTCGCACCTCCTCCTGCTGCTGTTGCTGCTGCTGCTGCTGCTGCTGCTGCTGTTGCTGGTGCTTCTGCTGCTGCATCCTTAAAGGAGGACATTGCACTTCTTGCAAGCTATAGCACATTCGTGGGCATCGTCTCAATATGTGAATACGGTAATCTCCCTTCTTCCTTTTTATCCTTTCTCTCCCTTCCCCTTTTTTCTCTTCCTATTTTTTTTTTTTTCGTTCAATAATATTTAACACACTTATCTTAATAAAAAGCAAATAATTAAATATCACGAACACTTTATTTGACTAATGAATGACGAAAAGAAAGATAAATAAACGAAAATAATAAAAAAAAAAAAAAGAAAAAAAATAAGAAAATAAAAAAAAATGAAAAAGGAAAATATGTGTGGCAAGAACATATATCGTTCGCGGTTGGCGAAGCCGCTCCGACAAGAGCAGCAGCCACGTCGTCGTCTTAGAGAGACGGAAGTGAAGTTTACGAAATTGGTTTATGTTCGTCGTAATCGATATACTCGTCTCGTTTCTATACCGACTTCTAAATTTGAATCGGTATAGCAGCTCGGTTAAAATGAGAAAGAAAATCTCTTCTCTTTCTCTCTTTCTCTCTTTCTCTCTTTCTCTCTTCTCCCTTCCTTTCTTCTCTTCTTCTACTTTTCTACTCTTCTACCTTTCCTTTTTTTTTTGTTTTCTTCTTTTTCTTCTTTTTCCTCAAAAAAACGAATGAACAAAATTGAATTTTTCTTCTCGAATTAGATGATCGTCGTCAGAGAAGAAGAAGCGTATCTCTATCGCGTTCGCGGACGTAGTGAGGAAGTAGTATCCGATAGATCGCCCACCGTTTTTCACAGGGATACTGATAAACATGACGATTTTCAAATCTGTTCGTGCCTTCGATGTCCACGAGACGAAATTTTAAAGAGAATAAAAAAGAAAGAGAGAGAGAGAAAGAGAGTAAAAGAGAAAAGGGAAAAGAGTTAAAGAAAATGATACGTAACACAATAGTACGAACATTTCACTGGAAGAGAACCGCGATAAAACGAGATAATCAAGATCGCCTTCTCTTGATTCCGGTGACCAAAACGAGGACAAAGTGGACGCAAATTATGGTCAGGGATAATTGTCCTATCAAGTGTCAAGCCGCCTCGTTTCGCCTATGTAAACGTTACCGCGAATAATGTAAATCTTCTCATTCTTGTCGGCTGAGATTTTTTAATATCAGTTTTATCTCTCTTCCCCATCCTCTCACCACCACTTCCCTTCTACTCCGCTCTTCTTATTTTTCCTCTTTTCGAATAATAATTGACCCGGTAATAAAAAATGAATAAAAAATAAAAAGCCAAAAATAAAAAAAAAATAAAAAAATAAAATTATTACTTGGCACGCAATGACCCAATTATACGAATTATTCAATAAAACAATTTGTTTTTGATTTTTGATTTGGATCATCTTTCATGATCATAGGCTCAATCATCGTCGAGATTAAAGCTCGAAGAAGAACTAGATCTGAAAATAGATCGAAATAGCCAATGTGATATACGACGTCTAGTTCTCGTATATCTCTTAATTTGGAATAACAATGATAGAAAAGATAAGATTGAAGAAAAGAAAGCAAAATGTGTATGTGTGTGTAAAAGTATTACATATGTCAGTTACAACAAACACTCGCGCAGTCTTATCGTTTTCACTTCGGCTTAATACGAATCTTGCGTTTCTTCTTCTTCTTCTTCTTTTAATTTTACATCCAAAACTTTCGCTCGCTTTACACGTTTTCTTTTTTTTTTTCGTCGATTCGATCAATCAATCAAAATGAAAGAAAAGAGAAAAAGAAATAAAGAAATAAATAATAATAAAATAAAATAAAAATTAAAATTAAATGTGACCGTAATCTTCGTTAAATGCCGTTAATTAATGAACATTTTATTTAATCGAATGAAAGAGAACCAGACGTTGTGACTATACGATCAAGAAAAAAAATATTACACGGATGCAATAAAATAGTAGTGGACTATCGCGAAGCTCGCGATTATTCAAATTACTTATACACTTCTATTAGCTATTACCTATGTACTATGAGTATATTGAATTACCATCGATAAGGTAATTCGAGATCGTGAATCGAAAGTAACGATAACAAAAGTTACACGGCCCCTTTGTTTTACTCTGCTAATATTAATAACAGTGTACATTGCATATATACATATATATATATATATGTGTGTGTGTGTATGTATATACATAAGCGCAACGATTTCTTTACTCGTCATTGTCTTTACGACCGTATGGTTGACATCATCGCAATCATAGAAGGATGCGATAAGCGTATGATTTAACTTGCGAGTCCCTATGATTTACGTCATCGTTCTGTAAAATAAATAAATTTCTCGTATGTTTTTTCCTTATCGTCAGTAATTTTACGAGTGAATTTATTTTTCGAAAGGCAACGTTTAAAAAAAAGAGGAGCCAAGAGGGATCAAGAGAAAGAGAAAGAGAGAGAGAGAGAGAGAGAGAGAGAGAGAGAGAGAGAGAGAAAGAGAGAGAAAGAGAGGGAGAGAGAGAGAGAGAAAAGCTATGTTGTTGCAAGAGACGAAGAACAGAAAGAGGATTTCGAAAAAGTCCTTACATGTCGCTGGACTTTCGCGAAGCGCTCGTTTGTATTACGTCAGCGAATATTTCACGCATGCGAGAGAGTCTCTCTTTCTCTCTCTCTCTCTCTCTCTCTCTCTCTCTCTCTCTCTCTCTCTCTCTCTCTTTCTCCTTCGACTTCTTCCTTATCGTCCCTTCTTCTTAATTTTCTTTTTTTTTCGTTTTTTCCTTTCATTTCTTTTTTTTCTTTCTTTTTGTTCTTCTCTTTTCTTTTTTTCCATACGAGAATGAAGAGAAGAAGAGGACCCGAAACCAGTTCTTGATTTTAACCGTTCCGTTATCAAATCGGTATATCTCGTGGTACGGATTAAAAAATAAAATAAAAAATGAAAAAAAAAAAAGGAGAAAAAGAAGAAGAAGAAGAAACGAGAGACAACAAGAACGATAAAAAATTAGCGATGATTTACGAGGGCCGTTTGAAAAGTTCTCCGCTTTCTTTTCTTCTTTTTTTTTTTCTTCCTTTTTTTATTTTATTTTTTCTTATTTTGTTTCTTTTTTAATTTACAAATTTAATTCTCGAAGTGAAACGTGTCTTAAAGCGAAAAAGAAAGAAACAAAATGAACGAAGTCGTGAATTTTTCAAATGACCTCAGTACTTCTCAACGACGCGTATTACTTTTCTAGTTAAATAAAAAATAATGATAATAAAAAAAAAAATAAATAAATAAATAAAAAGAAAACCATTATGATAAAGTAGGAGAAGAAGAAGCATAAAAAAGAAATTAAAAAATAAAAAGGATAAAAAAAGAGTGAAAAAAAAAATAAAGAAAGGAAATGGTCAACATCGAGAAAAAAGATCAGTCGACCTGATCTTTCACTCTTTTGTTTTCTCTCTTTCTCTCTCCCTCACTACCCTCCTCTTGTTCATCAGTATCACCACGTGCGCGCGCGTATATGAGAGCTTTTATCGCGCCTCTCTCTCTCTCTCTTTCTCTCCCTCTCTCTCGGTATATTTATTCGTAAGCACGTTTCACGCACACATTTTTCTTCTTGGTACCAACGACCCCTGGCTCTCTTCCGAGAAGCGATAGTCATGAATATAAAAAAGAGAACGATCCTCGTGAGAGTGACCTACAGTCGATGTAAAAATTCAAATAACGAAAGATATCGATTGGTATTGAAGGATATAGAAGAAAAAAAAAAAAATAAATAAATAAAATAAAAATTGCTTAAAAACTCCTTCAAAGAGAGAAAGGAGGGTGGGGAGGGAGAATAGAGAGGGGAGAGAGAGAGAGAGAGAGAAAGAGAGATTTGCCCTTAGAAAGAGTACGAAGATAATTAATTATTTGTTTGTGTTCGTAAAATCTTGAACCGTTGAAAGAGTTTTTTGAGTTCTCTCTTGACGGTTTAAAAAAAAAAAAAAATGATCTTGCGATCACTACAATTTATACAAATTGAACGAACATAAAACACATACGTGTTAATGTTTTTACGTGTTCGTGATACACATCACTTTTATTACACTAAATGGTATCGCATTGGCAACAAAATATCTTATTAATTACGACGGTATTCGTAAACGACCAAATTACAAAAAAAAAAAAAAAAAATAGAAAAGAAAAATAAACAAATTCGATTATAGATGAGAAAGAATTATGAAAAAAAAAAATATATACATATATAATATAAAAATAATAAAAAAGAAAAGAAAAAAAAAGGATGAAAGAGAAATAAAAAAAAATGTATTAAGACCTCGATCGATTTGAAACACGTGCGCGTCTCACGAGATCCAGATTCTAACTGACTGCCAAGCACAACTATCGCTTCATCGTCGTCATCGTTGTCGTCGTCCCGTTCTTCTCGTCGCTGTCGATTTCATTTTATTTTTTTGTCCCCTATCCTAATAGATACATGAAAGTTGAATACGTTTATTAATATGTCGTCCATTAATATGTCGTCTATATTTTTTTGACGTTATTGATATCATTAGATTATCGATATTACCTAGAGATATACTATATTCTCTCTCTCTCTCTCTCTCTCTCTCTCTCTCTCTCTCTCTCTCTCTCTCTCTCTCTCTCTCTCTCTCTCTCTCTCTTTCTCTCTATAACAAAATACATTATGGATCGCTTTAAAGCAAAGCTTATGCTTCGATGCACTCTATGACAGTGCGTGCATAAACATTTGTGTATTGAATCGATCAACCGTAAAACAAGCCGGTAGAGAAATAAATTCAATTTGTTTCTTCAACCGCTAATATCATTGGATTAAAATATGAAAATCAATAGCTTGTATATTTCTATGGTTTTTTGTTTTCTTTTCTTTTTCTTCTTCTATTTATATGAAGACACAATCGTGAAGATAATTATTCTCCAAATATATATTATTCTTCTTGAAGTTAATTATGAAGTTAACCATTTTTACACGACATAATAACAACTGTTTGAATCTTGGTGTCTTTATTAATCTTTGGCTAGACTGTCAGAGCGATAAGAAAAGTGTCATATAGTTCCCTTCGAAAAACGCTAAGTATGCAGATGTCGTCGCATATGTATGCATGAGTGCAAGCTAATACTCTAACACTTAGAATTTATGATACACGCAAGCCGCAAAAGAGATCTATGAGATCATACGATTCAGTTGCGTAACACATGTGTGCAAGTTATATACCGCCCGCCGCCCACTTGCAATACTTTTACGGTCCATATCCCTATCCCGGTTGCATGTGTTATAAAGACGCGGCGAACGCACATGCAAGTTCATCCTTGAATCAATAACGATTAACGACATTTGTTCATCGATCTTAATAATGGCAGGACGTCGATCATGAAATATGATTCAAATATAAGGATGATCTAGCATGACATATTTGTGTAATTATAAACTTTACATTTTTACGCTTTCATTTATAAAAGTATTATAAGTGTTATTTTCGCAAATCAAATCGTTACTTTTTTTTTCTTTTTTTTTTTTTTTTTTTTTTTTTTTTAACTTCGCCTCTAATACCGTCATTACATTTCCTTAGCTACAATTTAATCTTGGTGGAACGAGGAGATAAGAATACAGAGGTCAAGGGGTTGACCTTACCTAAACCGAGTAAAAGTAGCTTTACTGTCGCGCTGATATGTCGAAAGATTTTATTTATGACGCATTTACTTTTATCGTATCCAGGAGAGAAAACGGATACTATGAAATTAGAACATAATCCATCGCACAATTTGAAATTTTTATATACTAATTATATAGTAACATACGCTTTTTTTTTTTTTTTGTTATAAAAAAAAGAATAATTAAAAGCTTACTTTCGTTGGAAAGGCATCTTCGCACTCCGTACAAAAAAGATTTTCTTCTTTAACATGCAACAACATGTGAGATTTTAAACTGGCCATTCTAGCAAATTTTCTACCACATTCGGGACATTTTGGTTCACCAGTATTATGCGTTGCCATGTGAAGCGTGAAATTCGTCTGTAACGATATTATGCGAGGTTACTAGACTGTGTCTAAATATAGTCTGCTCTAATAAAAATTGTAAATATAGATTATCTTTAATTTGAGTATAATAAGAATATTCATAATTTAATGAAAAGATTATAATATATGTTAAAAACAAAATCAAATCTGTAAAATATTTATGAATTTTGTTCACATTCATTATAAATTACCGGAATATTAAAGGATGCAGAACACTTTGGACAACGATGCGGTTTCTCCTCTGCATGTTGATCCATATGTTTCCGATATAGAGATTGTTTATCAAAGTCTTGCCCACAGATATTGCATTTCATATCATCTATACTCTATGTATAGAAACATATATATATATATAATTTTAGTTCAATTGGTTTTATATTACATTAATATTTAATGTAATAGTATAATTAATTAATTACTACAATTTAAAATAACATACGTGAGATGAGATGATTTCATTTTTCCTAGGTCTGCCGGGATTACGTTTAGTATTATTTTTCTGAACAGGAAGTTGTGTTATATGGAACTCGGAAGAAAATTTTTGTTCTTTGTTATTTATTGCTAAATCTGTTGACGTAGGAACTATAGACTGTACACAACTTGATACATCTTCCATAACAGTAGGAACTGCTTCTAATGTTTGTATTGGTAATATAGCACCTTGTTGAATTCCAGCAATCCCTTCTATACTTATTTGAAAAATAGGCTAAAAAAAATATAAAAACATTTATTTCATAAATATTTCTACAATCAAATTGTAAACAGTAACAAAGTATTAAATGAACATACAGGATGCACGATCATATTTCCATCTATAGTCTTAACTAATGATGGTGAAATTATATTATTCTGCTGCATAAATGCTACAGGTGCTGACATAATTGCTACGATACCATCTTCGTGTTCTGCAATAATTAAATTACTATTTAACAATGACTAAGAGAAATATAAATATTAAAATATTATTTAAATATAATATATCAATATGAAGGATAAAAATCTCTTATTTATATATAAATTTCTACCTGCTACTGCTAAAAGAGTTCGACCATCTTCAGCAGTTATAAATCCTAATGGTAATGTATCGCCAGTAGATGATTCAGAAACTACAATTTGTTCTGTCAACATTTTGCTACTTATAAATGGACAAGTAATAAAGTAAGAAATATTTATCTATCTACATATCATAAAATACTACTTTGGGTTATGTGTATTGAGTCTATTCATTCCTAATGAACTAATGAATAACAAAATACATTGAACCTCTATAATTTTACACGTATTGAGTTTTTGTCATTGACGTAATTTCATTAAGAACCACCACAACTATTATCGTAATATATTCATTGTAATTTTTCTCTCTCCCGAGGTGCAAGTTAACCTCTAAATGAACGCTTTGAGATAATAAAATAGATCGCCATGATATACGTGTCAAGAATGTACGATTATTTCAATCGACAAAACAAAACTGATGTAGCACTATACTATAATGATTTTTCAAGTCAAATACTTGAAATAAATAACAACATTACTGTCACGAACTTTATTTGACAGGGTACGGAACTATCAAAGCAGCCGCATATGAATGTACTACACAATATATTATTTGATAATATGGCGGCACGCAAACAAGTTCAAAGTAGGAAGTTCCATCTTTTTTTTTTTGTCTCAGTCCTGTATCTTTTATTAATAGAACCCATGTTTTCCAAATAAATTATACTTTTGTTTTTATACAAGATCTTAATATAAATATCAATATTAATAGAAAATATTTTTTACAATATGACTTCATCACGAGCTAAAGAAAGGACGTTTTTTACAAAAGAAACTTTTGCTTAGATATTTATTAGAATAAAGGAAGTTTTCAAAAATTAAAAATATTGAAAAAAAAAATGATCCAACATTTTAACACTTGATAAACAATATGATCAACTTTTAAAAATTATGTACATAAAACATAAGTACATAAGGCATATTATAATATTGCAATTTTTTTTAAAAATGAATAAATCTATCCACATATCTTTGCAGAGTCTGTAAATTTATAAAAGTCATATTAATCCTATTTAAAAAAACATTAGAATAAAACGTCATATACTGATTGTCTAAAATCTAGTTTGGCTTTGTGCTAAAGTGCATAAGTACATACATTGCAAAAATAAAATTATAGATGCTCATTCTACCTGCAATCTTATACATATACATATATATATGCATCAGAAATAAGTACACTTTTCTTCTGAAGAAGACTTCAGCAGTATATACATATATACAAAAATATTGACTCTAATCCTGCATAAATTTGTAAGTTTCATAATACAGTTATGTAATCCCAGTTATTTATTAGATTCATTGTAAGATGCTCTTCCTGCTAGTTCAAGAAGATAACGGTCAGGATGATCCAACCAATCGCTAGCACTTAATTTAACAATTCTTTGTCTTTCTGCCTCTTTTACTTGCCACTTTTTAATATCCAATTGACGTTCTCTGAAAAATGAATTACTTTTAGTACATTAAATTTCTACTTTATAAAATAAGTTAATATTACCTTAACTTTACATCTCCACATCCCCAAACTTCTAAAGTAGCAATAGGATATGGTGCACCTGCGATACTGACTGAATGGAATGATTCATCAATACTTATATGTGGTGAACGTGGATTACTTCCAAATCGCAAGCCATGAGGATAACCTCTAATTCCTGTATTTAGATACAATACTTTAGGTCCTTTCTCTATAACTCTGTAGGATGGACTTAATTGAATTCCCACTGAATCTTCATCACCCCAATAAAGATGACTTTCACGCCATTCAACTGCTGAGCACATGCAGTACATGAGATATTCACCATCCTTTTCTGGATCAGCAGCTTTTATAAATAACAACGTTGGACCTCTGTAGCCTAGCACATGATGAAGAAAGCGATTAGCGCCAGTTCCATGTTCTGAACTATTATATAATAAAGTCCAGTGTCTAGGACATATATTGCCTGTAGTTCTGGCTATAATGGCGTGCGTAATATCCTTGGGTGTATCATTTGCCTAGATAACAAGGCTATGATGAAACGCCAATAGAATTTTGATGTATTGTTAAAAAAAAACTTAATTTAGAAGTATGCATGCCATGTGTCTTTTTCCAAATTAAACAATTCCTATTGTAGATATATGTGCACATATATATATATTAACATGTGCATACATATAAAAATATATACATGATTGTCTAATCTAAACAAATTGAAATTACCTGAAGATAACATTGTGGTAAAGTAGTTGATAATAACCAAACATAGCTCACAGGCAATAATGTCTGAGGTTGATCAAAACTGTCAGCATGTTCCAATACAGGTGTTGGAATTTCTAAATGTGGTTGTGGCTGTTCTTTTGATAGCAATGCTTTACCATTTCTATAAGCTGTTGTCAATACATGAACTACATAGCAATGTAGACCATGTACAATACGTGAACAATGCTGCCACATCCAATTACTAACATAACTCACAGACAAGCTATCTTTTCCATGAAACTGAAATAACCAGACATTTATCTATGCCTTAGCTTAGATAATAAATAAAAATAACAAGTGGTACATCTTACTAACACATGAAATGACAACAGCATTGACAACACGATGTATATAAATACATGTTGTAGTACCAGTACTATCCATCGCCAGTTGATAACAAGTCATCAATAAAGACCTTAGTAGATCAGGAGATATATCCCCATCTCTTATATTGGAGTATATTGTTACATAATTTTCTAATATAGTTTGGTCACTCATAACGGACAGAAATTTTTCTGATTGTTGTTTGAAAGCGGAAACTGTCAAATGTGATGTACTTGCTCCAGCAGAGTGATGTAAATAAGTAAACAACTTTTCAGCTAATGTAGGATAATTAGGAAATAAGTAATTTTCAAACACAGACATCGTGATTCCATGTACATGTTTTTCTTCATATGTATGATGCGATAAAATCTAGAGAAAAAATTTAAGGTTATGTTTTAAATAACAATTAATAACTTTACAAGATTAATAGAAAAAATATATATAACGAATGTATATATTATTATCATCATTAAATCAAAGCAAAAATTAATAATAAACGTCCTGAAAAATTAAAATAAAAAATATATATATTCGTGTATATATGTATGCATATATATATAAAACAATCATATATATATGATACGATTTTTGTTACTATAATTTTTGTTTATAATAAAACATAAAATAAAAATCTTTTACAATACAAATAAAACAAAAATTTTTAAATCAATCGAATAATTACCTTGGCTAGGTTATCAATTGGGAAAAATTGTGTAGGAGAACTATGTTCGATGTCATTACCAGAGGAACTTCGTGAAACCGTGTTTGTAGTTAGCGCATTGCTATTATTCGTAACTGCATCAGTCTTTTTAGTAGAATTGCTTATATTACGTGCCACGTGATTACCCATTTTTATCGAAGTTTTTAATTTTTTTTTTTTCGTTATTCTTTATCTTTAATACATATCATTCCAACATTGACAAAACTTAGATCTATATCAATCTTGTCCGGTATTGCACGAATTTCACATATGTCTACATTCAACATCACACAATCGACTTTGCTTTCACCGCTTATACGCAAAATCACATACACTTTCGTTGATTGTGAATCAAGCATTAATTTGTCATGTACTTATATACGTATGTATATTCAATGTACAGATATGTACATATACATATACATATATTATTGAACATGTATTTATGTCAAAGCAGAATGAAATATCATAATTCGCAATTGGTACATACTAATTGGATATACAGTAATGAATGTGGCGACATGGTTAACCGTGTCGAAAAGTAGAACTAATTGCCTTCGATACTAGTAGCTTTCTGGAGTTAAATTTGAAAAACACGAATATAAAAAATATTTATTATATTCATAATAAAATAGTAATTTTAATATAACGTAAAATTATGTATACAAGTCACAGGAATCTTATGAAATTAGTCCTTAATCTTTATATTACAACTTACGAAAAAAAAAAAATATATTTTTATTTTTTATTTTTTAATATTTCTAAAATAATAAAAAAGAAAAAATACTTTTAATTGTTTTCTTAATTCTATTAAATACATCAGCAATGATCCGTACCATTAATGGCGGTTTATTATTTTTGGCTTTTTGGCACTGTGTTTTATGACCTCTATTGTATTCAAATGCTTCTTGCAGTTGGTCCCTGGTAATTCTACTTCATCATCTGTAGTGGAAATATCGCGATTGCAATTATATTTAAAACTGTTCTTTTTTCCTCTATTGGGTGTTTCTATACGATTCATATCGTTTACTCGAATCATCGATTCGTATCGTCTACTCGGTTCTTCATCTTCAATAATGCTAACGCTGCAATCATGATAAACATTATAAAGATTTTCTTTGTACGATACAGATCCCTGAGTAAAAGATATTGTTTCTGGTTTTTTAATATTTTTCTGTTGCTCCAACGCATTATGTCTAACTGCTTTATCATTTCTTTTCTTTCTCTCATCAGACACAGAATTTTTTATATCATTTTCAATATCACTATCGCTAGAACTAGAATAATGTATTGTTCTGTGTTTTTTCTTAATTCTTTTTTGTGATTTGATATGACTTTTTGTCATAGAATCTATTATTCCTTTTCTTTGTTTCTGTTTATCCTGTTTTAATGATGCTCTTTTATTTTCCAACACTTTTTGAAATATGATCTTAGGCATACCCGCATAAATTTCACTTTCAAATTCTTCAGAGTCTCTCTTATTCGATTCTTGTTTATCATTCTGCGATTGTTCTTGTAGAATCATATTCGAGATCTCATGCACATTTTCTATGCTGCAGTTATTCTGATCGATTCTTTTTGTAATTGGTGATATATTGTGATATTCTGGCATACAAGATCTCTTTGAGCGAATAACTGTTTCATTACCTTGTAATTGACTGCTATACAATCCAGAATCATTATCATCGCATTTTAGTTTATTTGCGTCATTTGTTGCCACTCTATAAGAAAGAACATCTTCAAGACAATTAAACATTTGTACAATTTTTACAATGTATTCCTTAGGACAATCTTTATGTAACAAATTATTAATAATTATATTGATTTTATCTTCTTGTATAATATCTTTTAATGTATGCTTTTTTTGAATACATTGAGGCTGGTTAATATTTTTATGCTGCTCTTGATTTTCCTTATTTAAAATTTTATTATCGTGAATTATCCTTGTTGTATTAGGAATCTGTACATTTTTTGTACTAGGTACATGATTAGGTACATTATTATCAGTTTTGGTTCTTGAAGTATTATCTGAATTATTATTACATATATTACTGGAAGATTTTTGGTATTTGTTTTTTTCTTCCTTTGTGAATTGTAATGTTAAATTTGTTACTTCGCTATTCAAGTCATCATCGCTATCTGTAATCTTTGTTGGCCAATGAAAACTCAATTTACTGCCTTCAGATATAAATACTTTCCATAATAAATATATATTTTCCCAGTCATCTGGAAAACCATTGTAAAACTTGCCTCTCACATATTCTGGTAATTCTAAAGAAAAACGGAGAAAATTAATATTTTTTAATGATATTGAAAAGTGTATAAGACTTATACAGAAATTTAAGTTCTTACCATTTTCATTATCCACAATATTTCCTTCAAGATAATATATATGTAAGAAAGTAGATTGTACACTTGTAGCTGTCAATCTTCTAAGTATAGGTTTACTGCGTGCAGTTTGTCCGCTATAAAAAATAAATATGAACAAACAGTAATAAATGTTATAATGAATTTAGTCTTATAAATTTACCTTTCCAATGTTCCTTTGATAATCAAATGACCATCTTTGTTTAGCATAACTTTCCAATTAAAAAAGGTTCTACCCGATTTTTCTTTAGGACTAGCTGTTTTGCAAAGATTATAGTTATTATCATTATTACTCATTGAATTTTGTTTTTGCAACTTAGAAAGATTTTTTTCATGTTTGATATTTTTTGGTTGTACATATAAGCCCTTTTCAACTACATGAGGCGAGTTTTCATTAGTCAATAATGAATCTCTTTGGATGATTTTTGAATTTTCCTTAATTTGATGAAGAAATTCCTTAACAGTCAATGAAGAGGCGACATTATTGTTAAAGGAGTTATTTTGACTTGGAGATTGTTGAATATTTGAAGATGCAATTACTGGTTCATATGTAGTATAATTGTTCTTTTTCATTGCTTTTATTTTTGATAAATTTTTGTTAGAAGGCACAATTTCATGTTCCGCCTGTGAAAGTTGCGGAGACAAAGCAGTAAAACTCCAATTCTGTGCATCCGTGTCATTCCAGATTGGGTCATCATTTGTTAATTTTCCATTTTTCCTCAGTAAAGAAAGTTTCAAGGAACGCTCTAATCTTTTACAACGTTCGTCTTTTTTAAATTTTGCAAACTTCATCTAAGTAGATAAAAATATACATTTCTTATCAAATATAACACCATAAGTATAATATGACGTAGATATATGTGGAAATAAATTTAAGCAATTAAACCGTTAAAATTTGAAACTCACCTCCATTATAATTTTAATAATATTCACTTTACATTCGATGCACTAAATAGAAATTGTTATATGTTTAGAGAAACGTTTAAAAATCAATATATTTGTTTTAGCTTCTTATTATTTCCCGCGTAATTCTATGTAACTAGTTTATCAACTCTTACAATAAATTGTACGTATTTACTGCGAAGTTAGGCAGCGTCACAAATCTTACATTATGTGTGAAGTGGCGTTAGCAGCTTAAGTACATACAACCAATGAAAAATCTGCTTTAATTATCCAATCAATTTTAAAATAAAATAATGAAATAATTCTTATAAATATGTTTATATATATATACATACAAATCATATTTTTTTTAGATATGATTCGAAATTGAATATTTTGTTATTGTTGTAAATATAACGATAAACGTTAAATGGACAAACTGTTAAATGTGTTATATCTGTTAACTTTGTAATTAATTAGTAATCAATTAAACAGCGAATAATACGATGAATGAAATAATGGTTTATGAAGATCACGTTTTAAATAACATCAGTATATCTCTATATTCATTAATTTACTAATTGTTTGAAACTTACTTTCGATTATTCGCGGTTGAAACGGCCATATTGAATTGAAAAGCGTGCGCATCCATCGTCTTCGTCAGCGCGTGAAATTTGGGGGGTGGGGAGAATTCTTTCCCAAAAGCGTGCATTGCTTGTCATCCGGATTATAATTCGTTGGTAAAGTACGATTTGTATTAACTAATTTATATTATTGATTATTTCAATTAATTTTTTTTTTCTTTTGAAATGACGATAAGACAATTTTAATGAGTGATACGTTTATCAACATATTATTCAATTATTATATGTAAAAACAATTAGAGAATATAATTTAAAGCATTATACATATTTACTTAGATATACGAATTAAAAAGCTTAAAAGAAAATAATATTACCGGGGGTGGCTTTTCACTTGAGTAGGGTGCGCATTTCCAAATAAGGTGTTCTGAAACGACCGATTCGTTCGTGTTAAATGGCGCTACTACGACGTGGACGCCTAATGAATTACAATGTGGTGAACTAGAATAATGGCGGGAGTATTCAAAAGTTCAACCTTTTAACATAGATATAGTTTACATTGTTTATCTATGTATAGTATACAAAAGAAGAAGAAAGAAAAAGAAAAGATGGACGCGTAAATTGCACAGTTTTATACTATTTACTTGGATTCTGACATGAAAACTATATTATTCAGTATATTATCCAATGAATCATACCGGTGACGCATCACCTGCCATACTCGTATGACTGTTACCGTATCAAGTAACTGTTTTTATCATGAAGTTACAGTAATATCATTAAGATTAAAGTAATACTTGAGAGAAATAAAATAGTAGTACGTATATATGAAATCTTCTTTAGTATTCATTGAAGTGAAGCAAAATCGCAGTTTTGTGTATGTATACACGCGCACGCATACATTTATACATCACGAATATATTTCTATTTTATGGAAAAAGGAATAGTATTTAAATATTATAAGTTACTTAGATATACCTTATTATTTTGCTCCGATCTCATTAGATCTACAAACACGATACGATCTGATATTAATTTTTTATTGATTTAACTATATTTCGTTGTAACATTAACATACGTGACTGTACCGTTTCTTATTATGAATCATGATCTTATAAAAGCAACGGAGAGAGTTTATTTCTGTAGTCGCCAATTTCGGTTAGAATGAAATCTATTTTCTGATGCATCAAGCTCTCAATGCAGAAAAAGAGAGAGAGAGAGAAAGAGAGAGAGATAGAGAGAGGATAGAGAGACAAAGACAGAGAGAGGGAGAAAGAGAGACAGTAGTTTCCTCTTATATTTGTAATAATTGGCAACACTGGCATACACTTCATTTGCACATATTAACTCGTAGAGAGACCGGGACACAAAATCACGGTTTGGAAATATTCTTATTTCAGTCGCGCTCGTTTCGACATTAAGGGTGGGGAATCTATTTATAAATTGGGGGATGTTCCATGCGTCGCCCACGCCCGCAGTGCCCACGTAACAATAATTTATTAAAATAATCATAATAACCGGTGTATCAAGATATTGGTGTTTCCTTCTAGGTTAATCTTTGTTGGTTTCATTTTTGTTTGCGTTGAAAGTAGGTGCAGATATGTCTTTTCGTGTTGTACGCAGCAGCAAGTTCCGCCACGTGTACGGAACGTCTTTAAAACGGGAACAATGCTATGACAATATTAGAGTTTCAAAATCCTCATGGGATTCTACGTTCTGCGCCGTGAATCCTAAATTTTTGGCCATCATCGTTGAATCCGCGGGCGGTGGTGCTTTCATAGTCTTACCCCATAACAAGGTAATTATCAAAAGGTTTTCATTTCTTATTTATAAATATCTTTTATGAGTATATTATAGTGACTTTTTTTATGAAGATCCTATATAGAATATTTTATAGAATTCTTCTTTAAACTTACATGCATGATTATGACAGCCGTAGTTCTGGTAGCCTCTACTAGTTCTATAGATCATTGAATAATTGTCATAGGTAGGAAGAATATCAGCAGACTATCCTTTAGTGGGTGGACACAAGGGTCCTGTATTAGATATCGCATGGTGCCCTCATAATGATAATGTCATAGCTTCTGGATCTGAAGATTGCGTTGTTAAAATATGGCAAATACCAGATGGTGGTATTTCCAGGACATTGACTGAATCTGTGGTAGACCTACAATTGCATCAACGAAGGGTCGGACTTGTGCTATGGCATCCAACAGCATTAAACGTATTACTCACTGCTGGATCAGACAATCTTGTTTTAATTTGGAATGTTGGAACCGGCGAATGTTTAGTAAGAATAGACTCTCATCCTGATGTTATTTATTCTGCCTGTTGGAACTGGGATGGATCCAGATTGGTAACTACATGTAAGGACAAAAGGATTCGTATCTTAGATCCAAGAACAGGAAAAGTTTTAGAAGATGCTATTGCCCATGAAGGAAGCAAGGCAACACGTGCAATATTTCTAAGGTATGCAAATACATTGTACTTTTCTTCTTACTATTTATTTTAATTATTAAAAATGATCTATTTGTGAGTAACATTATTTTTATTTATCTTGTTTGAAAAGTTGTTAATTTAATATAGTTACAATCACAGCAATATGAATTTCATAAATGTATTCTTATGACTAGCTTTTTCTCATTATTAGGTTTTCTTTTATATTTAATAACATTGAAATAAAAAATTAAAATTTTAATGAATAAATAAGGATCTTACAAGATATTTTTGTAATATTAAAAAGAAAAAAGGCAGATTTATAATATTTGATATATATGATTTTATTTTATATAAAGTTTATTTGCTTTAAGATATCATATTAAAATAGATAATAAACGTATACATTAACTATAGTTAAAATTCAAGCATGCATAACTATAGTAGAACCGTACTTCATATATAAAGGCATGTCTTTAATATCTGGTACTTTACAAGCATTAAAAAGTATAAAATATAGCTGCCTTTAATTGTCATAATACAGCATTATAATGCTTCAATGTGTCTACAAATGAAGAACTCTATGTGCCTGTAAGATGCTTTCTATATTACAAGAATGACAGTAGTTAGTCTTAAACGCGCCTATGTAACAATAATACACTACATGCTTTGCAAATATCTATTATTTAATCACAACATTGGTGCAGATTGCACATAAAAATTTGCATACAAGGTGATGGTGCACAAATGCACACAGAGTGGTGAACATTTTTATATTTATGGGAACACAATAATAAAATATTAAATATATTAAATAATAAATTATAAAACATTTATTTCAGTGAATGTTCTTCACGCATAGAATAGACATGCACAGTATCTTTAATTCTTTGGAATTTATTTACATAGAATTACTTATTTTTTTAGATTTAGTAAAATAAGACAGTGTTAATGAGCAAGTGAATTTAACATTATATATATATATATATATATATATATATATATATTTTCTTTATATCAATTGTAAATATGAACTTACCAACTTTTATTAAAATGTCATTAAAATATTGCTTCAATGAATATGTAAAAAATATTATATGCAATAGCAACATATATTTGTGAATGATAGGATAGTTCATATGTATTACTATTATTATTTTATGCATATAAATTAATGGTTTATGTAGGGTACTACATACTACAGCCTTTTTAACATATAGCCAAGTAAATTTTTTTTTATCGATCATCGAACTATATACATCCGCCTTTTTACATTATAATTATATCATGTTAATTGCTCTTTTATTTAGGACTTAAATATTTTAACAAAATTGATTGAAGAAAAAAACAAAACATTAAATTCTAAACTGAATACTTTTCTTTCTTTTATTAGTAAAAAGGGATATATTTTAATTGCTTCAAACAATCAGCCTAATTTAGTCAAATTGCTTGCTACATTGGTTTATTGTGATCCTTTTTATGTATTTCTGGATTATTCTTTGGTTATGAGAAAAATCTGCAACAGCTTTCTAAATGAGGCATTTGTCTGCACAATAGAATTATTTTCATTGCTTTTTATCACTTGGTCTTTCCAATTTGTGTAGTGCAAGATTCACATAATTTTAATGGAAAACTTCAAGGTTGAAATTTCATCATGAGGAGGACACCACCTTAGTAAATGCAAATATCAAGACGTCTGCTCTATAGTGTCCAGTTAAAAATTACAGTAAGTATTGTACATTAACTTATTCATCTGAAGTATCATGCTGAAAATGTAAAGTATCATTGTCTCAGTATAGAATATGATTCTCTATATTTATATATTTAACTATCATATTTTATTTATATTTTTGGAAATAAGAAGAATCATTTGCTGCTCACAAATTAGAAAGGGAAGTATGTTAGATCTATATTGTATACATTTCACAGAAACATTTTGCATTCTTAGAAGATAGATGATTGACTAAATTAATTTACAGTAAATGTCAAAAATGTGTCAAGAATAATTTTTCATTTTCATTTCACTAAAATAAAATGTCAAATTTCATTTAATACTATAGCAACATGATACACTTTGTGAAGACTACTAATGCTGGCTACTGAAATATTCAATTAATACATGTACTGTTAAAGTTTTAGTATATCTTCATTATTCAAACCTATGGAAGCAATATAATCACATTTTTAACAAGTTAAGTTTGTACATGGGTACAGACTAGTAAAGCAATAATTCCTCCGATGAAAGCACTTATGAACAGTTGCAAAGTCTCTGTTTATGTTGTAACAAGGTGGATGTTAATAAGTATTGATGATTAATATAGGTACAGAAGATATAATGTATTGCCTCTGATAATACAATAAAATAAAACTAAAACAAATATACAGTATGTACCTTAATCAGGCACGCGGCCAACTTGATTATCTATCTTCCATGTACATTACACATTATACACAAATAAAACATGGATTACCCTTTATATCACATCTTTTACAGTAGGGATATCGGTTTTATGTATGATATCCCATATTATACATATCTATTGAGGAAGATTTCTATAAAAAAAGCATAAATTAATTTTCCTTTGCTAAAATATCTTAATAAAGATAAATATCTTTATTGCAATATTTCCTACCAATTGATTTAATTTTGCATTGTTTTAGTTTAAAATATATATGGCTTTCAAAAACAAAGGAAAATTGATTTACCTTTTCTCATGAAATCATACCTCTGTGTATATATATATACATATATAAATATGTACACACGTTTTAATGGAATTGCACCAAATCATGTTATTATCAAAGAAGATATGTTAATTATCTTCAATAATCGTGTGACTTATATTTACACATATTGTATAAAGGAGTGAGAGAAAATGCTAAGTTCACCACTCAAACCTACCAAATTAAACAAAAATTGGAGTAGTAATTATCTAATAATATATTAATGGCATATAAATTTAATTATCTAATAGTGCTTGTAACATTACTAATCCAGTGCCTATAATTGGACAAGTTAACATTTTCTATCAATATTTAATAATGTTTATTCTGTTTCAGGGGAGGTTTGGTCTTCACAACTGGGTTCAGTAAAATGTCTGAAAGGCAATATTCATTACGAGCCCCAGACATGTTAGGTGAACCTATAGTTATGGTAGAATTAGATACCAGCAATGGAGTTATGTTTCCTTTGTATGATCCTGATACAAATTTGGTATATCTATGTGGCAAGGGTGATTCTGTTATTCGATACTTTGAAATTACACCCGAACCTCCGTTTGTTCATTATATCAATACTTTTCAAACTCCTGACCCTCAACGAGGGATAGGAATGATGCCAAAACGAGGTTGTGATGTTAATAGCTGTGAAATCAGTAGATTTTATCGACTAAATAATTCGGGTTTTTGTCAAGTCATTTCAATGACTGTTCCTAGAAAGGTAAACACTATGTTGTTATAGATAGTAATGTTGCATTTTTGTTGTCATTGTTTCTTTTTTATATCATAATATCTTGTAGTCTGAGCTTTTTCAAGAAGATTTATATCCTGATACTCCTGGAGATACAGCTGCAATAACTGCAGAAGAATGGGAAAGCGGCGTTGATGCTGATCCCATACTGATATCTCTTAGAGATGGCTATCAACCATCTTCATCTAAAAATGAACTTAAAGTACATAAGAAGACAAATATACTAGATAAAGGGGCAAAAGTTGCATCTAACCCTGCACAAAATACTGCACAAGTATCGCCTGGCATTTTTGTAAGTCTTCAGATTTTTTTTCTTTTTTCTTTTTTCCTTTTTTTTTTGTAGTTTTAATCTGTAAATGATATTTTTCTATTTCAAAAATATACATGTATTCTAATAAATAGTATTTTTCTTTTTATAGGAAGAAATGTTAAAAGAATTCACAGAAGAGATAAGAAAGTTAAAAGCTGTGATTGTAAAACATGAAGGAAGGATACGAGTATTGGAATCGGCTGTGGCTCTTCAAATGAAGGAAGAAGAGAGAAATGAAAAGACATCTTCTCCTGCTGACAGAGAGTTGCTAGCTTCTGACGAAGTGTAATTTCTGAGTCATATTTTTAGCTGACAAAAATAAAATAATTAATCGTGTAACAAAGTAATTATATATTTTGATATAACAATTTGTGTAAATAGTAGGTTTCAGCGATGTGAGGCATGTTTTGATTCTTGCAATGATCTTTGCTATTTATTGTACATCATTCATCATACATCTACATTTGTACTATCTTTACATCTCTTTATTGTGTTAAAAGTTAACTAATATGGTGTTAGCTACTGTTAGTATTAAGACATCCCATGATTTTATATATACTATAGTATTTCACTATGTATATGAAACTTTATAACAGTCATTGTTGAAAAGAAAAGAGTGCCTAATTTGTACAGATATTTTGCTGTAAAATAACAAAAGTAAAAATATTCTATTTAAGTAAGTGCTACCCCGTTCCTGTACCTTATTAAAGATAAAATTTATTTGAATTGAAGATATTCAAAAAGAGAAAATATTGGGTTGACAACTAAGTGATTGTGGATTTTGTCGTTTCCTTCTTATTTGAAATCCGGCAATCACTTAGTTGCCAACCCAATATATACGCGAATAATCGTAAATAAAAAAAAAGGAATATTTTTTAAATATCTTTATACCATATATAGTCATCATAAAATTCAAATAAACTTTAATCTGTAAGAGATTTATGATTCGTCGATTTATTTTATAATTATTTTTTATAATACTATGAGTCGTCACATTGATAGGTTATACGAAGGACGAGTATTTCATCAAATATCCGACAGATATCGCTATAGTCATGATAGTTTGAGTCTTTACTTGACTCCCGGGCCGGTTCGTTTATCCGTTTTCCGTAGTCGTCGCGAAACAGTACGTACAGTTCGCTGGACGATGTGACCGTCGCGACTTTCGTCAGTGAATATGTCCTTCGTTAAATCGTAACGATTTTATTAATTTAATTCGACAGTTGTGAACGAAACGTTAAGACGATATATCTCACAGTGAGTAAATGCCATTCTAAGGAAACTTGCGAATTATCGTATGGAAATATTCTTTATATAAGTAAAGAAGAAAGAGAGAGAGAGAGGGGCAGAAATTTTAGTGTCTATTTGTAAGAGAGAAAGAGAGAGATAGAGAATGATAGAGAAATAGATATAGTGTGGGAGGTTGTGTGAGAAAGATAGGAGTTTTCTCGTGGCGCGCCTTCTCCGTTCCATGTTCGAATCAATGCGCGCTCCAACCCGGCTTAACCTCTTCAAAGAAAAAATATTTTCCCGAAGACCGTACCCTTTTTGGATTGTCCAAACTTTTTTTGTCTTGTTTACTCTCTTACCCTTGATTAGCTGCACGTGACTTGACCTCTGAATTGCATTTCGCAAATGGGTTCAATGTAGGGCCATACCTAATACTTGTATAGCCTGTCCTGACATTCGAAGACATTTGGCACGAAAACGATAGCTATTTCGAATACGTGCTTGCAACATCGGCCCTCTCTTCTCTCGAATGGACTTTAAGAGTGTATATATATATATATACATAATATGTATATATGTATATCTATAATATATATTGTAAATTTTTGGAGTGTATTGTCCGCGCAAGTCCTCATTTTCACAAAGGGGTAAGGTGAGAGCGCTCGGGGTTGAGGTGGTGGCTAGAGCACTTCGAGTGGGGATTCTTAAAAGGCATGCACGCATGCTTCGTGTCTCATTGCATCCTGGTACTTGTCCCAGGTGCGATCTTTTAGTTGGGAAGGGCGATTTGTGAATTTGCCAATGTCATTTACGCCTATCATTAGTACGTTCGTCTCAACGGACTCAATCGTCGAGATAGGGTTAC